AATTTCGAGCACCACCCAGATATTTCTCTTAGGTTCTAGATGTGAATATCCAACTGCCTACTTGATATTTCTCTGAAATGTCCTGCAGGCAACTCAGCCTTTTCATAACTGAATACAATTTTCACCAAGTTTGTTGTAAGAATTGAAGAGAAGTATAGTGATGTTGTTATTGATATTGAACTTTAAAGTAGGAGAAATTTTACATGAATGGAGAAGTAGTGGTTTAAATATGGCAATGAGGAACTAGACAAATTCTCACCTCAACTTCTGGCTTCTAGGTTCATGAACTGTGACGGAATAAACATATTCCAAAAAAGTGGGATCTACAGGACTCTGAGACTTAAGGGGAAAGCCAAATCTTAGTTAAGAGGAGGAAAGGAAAGGAAGTCCCAGGGTATTGGGAGGCTGAGGTGGGAGGATTACTTGGGCCCAGGCCCAGGAGTTCAAGAAAAGCCTGAGAAACATATAGGGTGACTGCGGTCTCTACCAAAAAAAGAAAAAAAATTAACCAGGTGTGGTGGGCTGTCACTGTAGCTACGCAGAAGGCTGAGGTGGGAGGATCACTGGAGACTGGGAGGTGGAGGCTGCAGTGAGCCACGATTGTGCCACTGCACTCTAGTCTGGGCAACAGAGCAAGATCATATCTCAAAAAAAAAAAAAAAAAAAAAAAAAAAAAAAAAAAAAAAAAAGAAAGAAAAACAAAGTCTTAAGCGAATAAGTCAAGTTAAACTATAGTTTATTTAAAAAAAGAATGATTTTAGAGGGCACATTGGAGACAGGAAAGCAGTTGAAAGAAATCATGAAGAACATACACATTCATTAAGTGTTTGTTGAGTTTCTCGAGGGCAGGTGCCAATCATAACCATCTTTTAATCCTTAGAACCTATCCCAGTGTCTGCTATATGCTAGACACCATGCAAATGTTTGTTATAATAAAATGAGACTCTTATAAATGACTTTTAATTATTTCCCACTGAGGGAAGAGTGTGATAAAAGATCCTTTTCTTTTTTGTTTAAAGGAAATAAGAAATAAGAATAGCTTAGGGCACTTATAAGGATATAACTCAATTCTCCAAATGCTTCATACTGTCTGTTGGGTTAGCCACAGGTGAGTGTAGACCTACGTAAGGGCATTTTTCCCCCGAGTCAATTAGATTCACCTAGGATTTCCACTGAGGCAGATTCTGTCTCTGTGGAAAGACATCTATAGTAGGCGATCATTTTTGTCAATGGATGTAGTCTTCCCAACATTCATCCTGTAAGTGTATTAGAATAGTTTTGTTAACAGAAATTACATCTAATAAGTCAGTCAGTCATCGGACTACAGACACTGAAATGTGTCATGCTGCAATTCCTTCACTTTTAGATATTTAGATATTTTGTTCATGGTGGCTGAGTAGTAAAGTTGCCTCTATGTTCAGTTTCTCCTCTTCTTAAGTTGCTAATGATGATGCCTCCCTGGCCTGCCCCTTCCAGCTCCCAGGCCTTCTAGGACTCAGGCAGTTTCCTATGTCAGAGAGGTTCCTGGCTTTCTAAAATCTGTCACCCACACCTTGTGGTCTTAATGGAAGGAAAAATGAAGTTCCTGTCTTTACATGATGCCATTTGCCCCTTCTGATGTGTGGCATGGTCATCCTCTTCATTCGATAGACTTGTTGTTGTTTGGGGGACAGACTTTTCTGTCATCTCCTGGACTGTTTTCCCAGCCCATCTGCAGACCTCCATCTCCATATTCTCTCCATCACTAACTTACTTTTGTGAACTCGCTAATTACAGTGTAGCTTAATAGCATTTATGAGAACAAAGATTGTTATAGTTTGTCTTTGTTTCGAGGAGCTCACCATCTACTATGTGATACAGACATAAACACATCTTACAGCTGGGGGCTAAACAAAATGCTGAGTGATACAGGAGGAAAGCCACGGAGGAGGACGGATGCCTAGAAACGGTAGAGTCCAATTTTAGAAGTTATTTCAAACTCTGTATCTGAACTCTGCACCCCTGCAGAAAATGGTCTACATTTTCTTTAGGGAAGGATAGAGACAGTTGAATTGAAACTCTTGTCACAGTTACTTAAAGTTGTCCCTTTAAATGAAGGAGTGGCTTTGTCTGTTATGATGCAAAAATATAGGCGTTCTCAACAGGTTTGCCAAGGTACATTGGCCTATTGTGAATCCTTCACAAATCTGTTACCAAGTTTTAACAAATTTGTAAGATTAAAGCGTACTCTAACTGAGATTCCCATATTACAGAGGTAGATTTCAGACAGAACTTTAAGTTGAGCAGGTGCTGGAACTGAATGTCAAGGCGGGAACAGAAGGTGGCAAGTAAAAGGTAAAAAGCACAGTATCCTGTCAACTAGCACCAAGAAAGAAGGAGTGTTTACTGGAGCATGTGCCACCATTATTTGTTAACTAGCACCGCCTGTTACCCAGCACCATGAAAGAAGGAGTGTTTACTGGAGCATGTGCCACCTTTATCTGTAAATATTGAGAATGTGGCTGTGGACAGGGCAGAGCGTGATTCTGTTCCTACAGTCAGATGTGTTGTGAGTGAATCAAGGGAATGGGGAAGAACTGGATGTACCTCCACAGACTACAGGAGACACTGTCACATTGTGATGAAAGATCGCTGACTTTTTAACAATTTAACTCTTCAATATTTATTTTATTTAAAAATCCACGAACACCTTCAGCATTTTTTTTTAATGGTAAAACAGCGGTTCACATATTAATTATCTTCCTCTTGTATCCCCAGGGAATGACTGTGATCTTGACCTAAAAGCCATGCTAGTTAGTTTGAATAAGGAAGACCTTGAAAGGAAAGGTGACTGACCAGAAGCGTTCTTAGGAAGCACACAATAAAGAAATGATCATTTCTAAGCAAGTACTTAAAGTGCCATAACACAATATAACAGTGCTTTTATAAGCATCCAGTCTTATTTAAGCAAAAATATTTAAAATAATGTGATCATGTTAAGGCACACAATCTGGAGCTTTAAAACTTTAAAAAGAGAGCACTTTGTAGTAGCACTACTTTGTTTCGGGTCTTTTAATTTCTTCAAGTGTGCTACCAAAAATTTTAGTATTTGAAAAGGTGCCAACACACACACACACACACACACACACACTCACAGACACACAAGCACTGTACATGTTGAGATCCTCTTCAGTAGTACACTTAAAATGGAAGACATCGCCTTATTTCTTTTTCTTATCTGATAGCCCACCAGGGCTTTAACATCTCTCATCTCAAACTCAAATCATCTGTCTCCTTTTTTATCTAAGCTGTGGAACATGCAAGCTCATTAAAACCTGAGAAATTATATTAATTCTCTATGATAGTTTTCCCCTCTGCATTATTTTATCTTCCTTTCACAAGCAGGATTATGAGGTTTCTTGATGGGTTTTTAACATTGTCATGAAAAATCTTCCTTTGGCGTGTTTGTGCAATAACACAACCTTAAAAATCTTATTTAAATGAACTTATTAAAATGAAGTGGATAGGCAACAAACCGACTCAGCTCAGTACCAAACATATTTCAGAGTCAAATTCTCTTCAACTACTGTTATCTCATTTGTAATAGAACAAAGAACCACTAGACGGAGCTAGGGTTTAAGAAATCACAGTTCTAGGCTGGTTGGCAAGCGACGGGCAGAAGGCTATCTCAAGGAAGAAGTGTATCATTACTTTCATTTCAAATCCTATGACAGCCTTATCTAACTCTCTGCTAACAGCAATCTGTTTACTTTGTGTCCACACAAGACGCGACAAAAAGTGATATTCGTAATAGCCCAATTTATTTAGTCACTCCAATAATGACGTCTGACCTCGGCACAGCACTTTACAATGTAAGGTGCTGTCCCCATACATAATCTTGCTTGATCTTCGCAGCAACTCTGAGAGATTTCTGGGCAAGAACTCGTTCTTCTGTTTTTGAGATTAATTAACTGAGACAGGATGTCTTTGCAATAAGATGTCTTTGATTAGGATATGTCAGGAAGGCTAACCCAGACAATTTCCAGGGTTACTTTTTTCTTCCTCTTACATTTTTGTGTTGACTGTTGACTCAGGCTGAAACTAGTAAGCTCTCCATTCATTTCTTCTTCTGCGGGGCATAGGCTTAGTCTCCCACTGCACGTACTGGTGATACATAGTAAAAAAAAACAGGTACAGAGTATCTGTGGGTCAAAATCCCCCCAAATAAGTGAAGAAACAACTACTGTCTTAGCCCCTGTCCAGAAACCTTGGGTGTATGTGGTTCTTCCTTATACCAGGGGTCGGGTGTAAAAACTAACTGTATCCTCTGCATTACAGACCACCCTTCAAACCAAAGCCACAGTTGCTTAATTAACGCTGCCTCTCCCCTGAGCGTTCACCCTTAGAGACAAGGCCACCGGTTTGATGTCAGGCAGTTTGATACTGATCATACCAAGCATCAGGAGCCTGCATTTGTGTCTATGGTAAAAACAACCCAAGACAATTCTTCTGAAGCTGAATCTGCCAGTCACTCTGTAAATCTGCACTATTGCAATACGACTTCATTAATTACGGCTAAAACACTGGCTTAGAATCAAGCTGGGGGAACTTTCGCTAGTCAGGCTAACAAACCTTACAGGGAGGCAAGAAGGTGTTTCCAGAGCCTCAGAGGCCCGGGGTCCCCGGCCTGAAACAGAGCAAAGTTACATCACCACGCTCCCGCAAGACGTGCGGTGACCTTGTTGGGCGTGAAACCGCCCTGAGAGCTGCTCACCATGCCCTCCTCTCCACCCAGCCCAAGGCGCATCCTGAACACATTTCCCGGCCTGTACCCAGAGGGTGGCGCTGCCGTCCCAGCCTTGGCCCGCGGCCGCCCGCCGCTCCCCGGCCGCTGCGGGAAGCCCCCAGCTCGGTCTCCCGCAGGCCGGCGCGGGGCACGAGCCCGGTAGGGGGCGCCGCCGGCCCAGGCGCCGCTGCTCCCTCCGCCCACCCGGAGGCGGCTGCCGCGAGCCGAGGCCGGCGCGAGTGCACGGCGAGGCTGGCCGCAGCGAGGGAGGCGCGAAGAGGGCGCGAGGGTAGCAGCCGGAGGGAGCCGCCAGCCCTGCCTGCGGGTGCCCGCGGGGCGCATGGGGCGCTGCGAGCCGGGACTGCGTGCGGGCCCCGCGTCCAGTTTCCCGCTGCCGTGAGAAGCCGCGCCAGGACGCCCCCCGGACCCCGAGCTGCAGGGAGGATGACCATGGCCGGGGGCAGGAGGGGACTGGTGGCCCCGCAAAACACGTTTCTGGAGAATATTGTCCGGCGGTCCAATGGTAAGCGGTGCATTCGATTTCGGTGACCCGGGCGTTTTATCCGTGCCTTTATTGCAGAACCTCTCGCCGCTCGGAGCCAGCAGATGCGGCAGAACCCGCCAGCTCTGCTAAGGAGCCGCGGCGCGGGCACCCAGGGCTGCCTCCCCGAGGCAGGGAAAGGTGGGCAGGGCGGGGCGGGGTCTGGCGGGCCCCCATCCTAACTGGTGAGCTCTTCTGGGGACGCCTTTTGGGCCTTTCTCGCGTCCTCTCGGTCTCATCTCCAAGGTGCGTGACAGCTGCTGAGCAAAGTACTGGGAAAAGTGATGGAAAGCTGGCCGGAGCCGGAGCGCAGCGCGCGTCCCATCGGCTCTGCCCACCCCTCCGCGGAGGCTCTGGAGCTCTCTGGCTTGCTCCCGGAGGCGCCACCTCTCCCCAGGGAGAGCCAGCAGCAGAGACGAGCAACTCCAGGTCCCCACCGCCTCAGAATGGGAGGATGCGGCTGCCTCTACCTTCCATCCCTGCCACTGAAAAGTCCGAGGTGGGGGGACGTGCTGTCGGGGCCTGATTCCTCCCCTTCACCCACCCACCCCTTTAGAGGTGAAGTTAAGGCTCACCTTCGAAGTGAGGGGCAGAGGGTTTTCCTGGCGTCAGGTGGGAAGTGGAGGGTACAGGTGCGGAGCATACTAAATGGTCACAGGTACAAACCTGTTATCTATTTCCTCTCTTCCAAACCCACAGCTGTGTTTTACACCACCCTTAAGTGTTGCTCACCTAGAAATTCCCAATCTCACCAAACCTATAAATAGATCCATGACCCAATAAACCTATCCTCGGCACCCGTCTCTTTCCTTGTGGCATTAAGAGCAACGGTAGCATGAAGCCTTGAAAGAGTGTAGGAGCAGGGATGGAAAGAAAGAATTCCAAACGCGTTTTGGACTCACAGCGGACAGACCCCAGCTAAAGCACTTGCAAAGCAAATAAGAGTCCTGGCAGTTGGAAGGCACAGCGCGCCAGCTCATCAAATGGCTATAGTGAAAGGCAGCCAAGCATAAGATGCTCTTTGCAGACTCCTAGGCACCCCCATCTCGTCCCTTCCAGAAACAGGTGACATTCTTCTACCAGGGGGACATTAGGAGCTAACTTAGGAAGTGGGTTTTAATAATGTGTAAATATCACGATTTCAGAGCCTAAGGAGCTTCTGCGTAAAATGATGAGCTTCTCTTTGGATTTAGTTAGGGATTCAGGGGAGCGTGGTGATGTAAAGAGACTTATGCCACTAATAAAAATACTCTTTAATTAAAAAGCGATTTAATGTCATAATAAAACACATCAATTAGCATAGCAAATCATCATGTATTATTTAAGTACTTCCTTAGAAATGATCATTTCTTTACTGTGTGCCTCTTAAGAGTGCTTCTGGTCAGTCACTTTTCCCTTCAAGGTCTTCTTTATTCCAATTAACTAACGTGGCTTTTAGGTCAAGGTTAGACTCATTTCCTGGGGATGGAAGGGGATGATAATCACTATGTGAACAGCCACAATGAACTGTTCTGCGATTAAAAAAAAAAAAAAAAGCTGGAGATGTTCGTGGATTTTTAAATAAGATAACTAAGAATTACTGTGCTATTATTGCTATTGTTATTGGCCTGTTAAGTGGTAGGGAGACAATCTTGCAAATTTGGGGATCCCATTGTCAGTGACATCAACTTTCTCGTAAATATCAATGACAATTCTATTTTTCAGTGAAGAGGCAGCGTCCTGTAAGTTAGAGCGGAAACCCTGTATCTAATGTATACTGTGTGTGTTTTTGAGTGGAGGGAGGAGGAGAAACTTACATGTAAACGTCACAAGATGCCTTGGGTTTGTAAGAGAACCTTTAGGATCTTGGAGTTGTGAAGGTAGAATACCGTCTAGTTTAGTTGATCTTATTAGAGCCACTTTCCCTCTGTAAGCATAGAATGTCAATAGAATAAGTTACCGGGAATATTTTTAGGATGGGCATTGCCATTTCAACATTGGTTTCAGCAGGTTGATTTCAATTAACCAGTCAAATGAATAACATCAACAAAAATGAAACATCTTGGGGGATTTGGATGAATTTTTAAAATTATCATTTCAGAAGAAAAGGTTCTCATCTTGAAATGTGGGACCTAATATTTTCGTGATCCCTTTCCTAATTTTTCCCAAACACAAACAGAAGAAAAAATGTGGACTCCTAGAAATACCGCAATATCTGTTTGTATTATATTATTTTACTGTGATGGAAAAAGTCTATTTAAAGATATTGATCGTCTCGTTCTAAAATCCATGAGCCATTTTTTGGACATTGCAGTATTAAAATAGCATTTTACCTTTGAATAGCACTATTTTATGATCATTTTATTAGATATTTTCTCCCAGTGGTTCTGTGCAGTATTGATGTTCCTCTTTTACAGATGAGAAAGCTGAGTCGTAGGAATATTAAGTGGCTTATTCTAAGTGGCAAACAATACTTGAGGCTGGTGCTCCTTAGAGGATATCTATCATATGTCCTTCTCTCAGCATCATTATTTCTCCACCTTTTAAAACTTAGTCTGTGGAACTATTTTTATCACCCTTTAAAAACTTCTCATATGATAATGAATAATAGTACTGACTTAGTATTGGGTTACTTGAATATCTGGTGTCTGGAATATCAGAAGTGTAGGAAGAGATGGACCTTAAATATTATCTAGTCTGCCTCTCCTTCCGTATTATTGTATAAATAAGGAAATGGGTGCAAGAGACTTTCCTCAAATATTTAAGGGCAGAACTGATGAGGCCCCAATCTACTGGACTCCAATGTCATATTCTTTATGGTACACCATGCAAAAACACTTTTCTCATGTTACCATTATATTCTTTCAAGAAGCATAATTTTCCAGTGGAGATGAAATGAAATGTTATAACAACAAGAACAATATCTATCTTGGCTAACAGCCACACTACCACATCCAAACAGAATAATAGGGCAAAGGAGAGGCTAATTATATTTCAAGGAAGTGCAGTCTTTTCACCTTTGTCAGTGGTTTAGCTGAGGCATAGGTGGGGATAATTGGCACTTAACATCTGTGTGCCCCATTAAAAAGTACCAAGTCACTTTTCATAGAATATCACCCTTGATCCTCATAAGCTAATAGAAGAGGTGCAGTGTCTCCATTTTAGAGTTTAAGGAACTAAAATCCTTAAACTAAAACTCACCTAAGAATCTTCAGTTGAAGTGATTCACCTACAGGTAGAGGCAGGGTTAGGAAAAGGCAATTAGAGACAGGTCAGGGGCTAGCCAGCAGTTGTTACTGGTCTATTCATTCAACAAACATTTATTGAATGTATTTATGGAACACTGAGGATATAGTGGTAAACAAGAAACCCTCCTTGTGATTAGTAAATTACATTCTAGTGACTCTTAGTCCAAGGCTCTTGCCCCTATTTTACAGTGTTGACTGGCTGCAACTGTTAGTTAGGCCTGTCACTGTATTTAAAAACATTTCTAAGGTGTTTACTGGTCTTGCTGGTACTAAAATCTACCTTAACTTTCTTTGGTACATTTTGAATCCCATTCGAAGGAAAAATTTGATAACTATCTGTTTTTTATTGCTGTAAGTAGGCAACAGGAATAATTAATATTCCGTATTTTATTTGATTTTGCTTATAGTTATGTCAGTGATCATTTTAAAACCTACTGGCTTTGTTGCCACATAGGCAAAATCAGCCTGTTTCTCTTTATATTCATGTCTGGAAAGTGTTGTCACAGAATATTTTTTGATAGTTGCTTAAGTCTGCAGGCACTTGTTGTCAGAATGTTCGCTGAAGCAAACAGGAGATCTGTCTCAGAAAGGCTGGCAGACCTTGGTGCCAGGAAACTACAAAAATATTACTCTAAATGGTCCCATTCTAGGCAGAACATATGTTTTAGTGTTCAGGAACCTATATCAAACAATTGTAGGTGCCAATAAGAATCCATGCACATTAGCAGGAGTGAAACAGCACATTTTAGTACAGATTTATGTACATGTATAATTTACAGATTGCTAAATCAGCTGTGTTTTTGTATAGTGTTAAGTTGGTTCAGGTTGTTGATGTAATTGGTTAGCAAACAGGATGAGAGCCATGGATAATGTGCCTCCTCATGGATGTTTTGAGCCATGATCATGTTTATAAAACAGAAAACTGGTTAAAATCCATTGTGCCTCTAAAAGAGGGAATGGATGATAATCTGGATTATTAACAGCTCAACAGAGCTTGTTTTTTCTTGCAAAATGTTCTAAGACAACCTTCAGGCAAGGCTCAGCTATCTTTCTCTGAAAGTGTCAAGAAGTTAAATCTACTGGCTGATGTTAGATGGAATTGAGAGGAAGAAGCCTTGTGATTTAATGTTAAGGAAATAAAGCTTTCAAATTCCACGGTTTGTATGCAACTCATTTGTTTTAATACTCTAGCTTAAAAGAATAGGTGCATTTGAGGAACACTGTGGGTCAATTGACTCCTTGGCTTCATTGTTTCTGACGCCAGCTCTTCATTTATGGTTGGACCTCACTTGGCAGTCGCTTCTTGAGCATTACCTTGAAGCTCTTCAATTCTTCCCTTCCCTTTATTTTTGATTAGTTAATGGCTTGTAAACAAACCTTTAAAATCTGCTAGAGTATCTGCTTCATACATTTAGTATATTTGGACCATTTTTTTTTTCTGTTTTTCTGTTTTTCTAAGTGGCCCCACCTATAACTGTTGAGAAAGAAATAGAATCACAGAATCTTAGTTCTGGAGGGACATGATATACAATTCATTTCCCACTGTCTGAATCCTCTCCTGAACATTCCTCCCCATGGTTTCTCAGCCTGTGTCTGACTAGCGTCAGTGATGGGACACTCACTTTCTCATGAAGAATATTCTGTTTGTAGGCAACTGCAGTTCTGAAGCCATTTCTTCCTTTTTGCCTCCTCTCTTTGTTTTTCTCTTCTTCTCTTCTCTCCTCTTCCTCTTGCCTTTGTTGCTGTCCTTTGGTC